AGCCCACTTAACCAGTATCTTGCCTTTTTTTCAGAAAGAGAGAAAGAGAGAAGGGGTAAGAGAGAGGGAGGGAGAGGAGAGAAATAAAAATACAGAAAGATGGATGGATAGAAGGAAAGAGGAAAGAAGGAAGGAGGGGAGGGAGGGAGGGAGGAAGGGAGGAAGGGAAGACAGACTAGCAACTCCTCTGGTCTGGGCACTTGCTTGGTGAGGTGGCTCACACCCACACTCTTGTAGTGTCTAAGCCCTTTGTTATGGTGTCCATCTAAGACTATAGCTGTTGTATTTGTCCACTTACCTTTGACACTGGGGATGACAGCATCAAAAGGCGTGCCAATGGGACACAGGAGAGCAAAACATATTCTTTCTTGCCTTCATTGTGTAACAGAAGCACTATTACCTCCTGAAGATTAGGTGTCACCAGTATGGTGACACTGTTCCTTGCCTGCTAGTCACAGTGATTTGAAAAGAAGGTTAATGAATTGTTTGCTTGTTGGTTTGTCTTTTATCAGTTTTAATTTTTATGTTATTGTGATAACCTAACCTAGGTTAGCCTAACTGACTCCATCTTACCTGCAAACCTGTCAAGCTCTCTCAAGCCTGTCCCTCCCGGCCGCAGCCCCTCAGATACATTACTGGGTCACGCTGCACTCTAAGCTTTGAACCTTGAGAGTGGTTCACACTGTTCACAGCACCTGTAACCACTGTAGCCGCATACTGTTTGGCAAGTCTACCTGCTATTGTGAATAACTTCCTTGTGATTGATTGTATGGAAAGTTCCCCCTGCTACCCCTCTTAGTGATTGTATGGAAATACCCTTAGCAACCAAAAATCTTGGGAACCTCCTGCCCTCTGGTTATCAGCCTCTTCCTACTAACTTGCTTGTTCTGCTTCTGTAAAATTCTGCTTCAGCTAGGCTGCCCCCTCCCCTACCCAAATCAAGGTATAAAGGGAAATCAAGCCCCTTCCTCAGGGCCGACAGATTTTGAGCGTTAGCTGACTCTCTGTCGCCCGCTGAATAAAGGACTCATAATTTGAACTCAGAGCATGGTGTTTCCTTCTAACTCACTTGGTTATTACATTATGTTCACTTATTCTATTTTAAGTTCTGGGATACATGTGCGGGATGTGCAGGTTTGTTACATAGGGAAATGCGTGCCATGGAGGTTTGCTGCACCTATCAACCCATCACCTAGGCATTAAGCCCAGTGTGCATTAGCTATTTTTTCTGATGGTCTCCCTGCCACCCTGGAATTAATGAATTGTTGCACCGTATATTCAAACATAAAACTACAATAATCAGTGTTGACTTTACAAATGGAAGTCAATCATGAAGTCTAGAAAGAGATCTAAATACAAAAATATTTGATATAGGATAAAGAAGACATTTTTAGTCAATGGGGAAAGGATGTAATCTGTATCAGGGCAATCACTGACTGTTTGGGAAAAAAAAATAAATCTCATCCAGGGCTGATATTTGGTAAGAACTACAAATCTGGCCACACCCAGGTTCTATGGCTGGCATTCATTATAACTGGCCAGTACCTACAGCATATGGTTGTTAAATACTTTGAACATGGTCCCTGGTTTGATCTCTCCATAATGAAAGAAATTCCTCAACTGACTCAGTGCAAGAAAACAGGCTTACTGCCTATAATTTCATTCCCAGCTCAACCAATCAGCATTCCCCGTTCTCTAACTCCTTGCTTGCCAAACTATCATTGAAAAACCCTTTTCCTGAGGTAAAGGGTTCTGAGAACTGGGAAGGAATCTAGATATAAAAGATGAACAACCTGAATAAAGAAATTCTCACCCACCCCCCAAAAAAAAAGAAGAAGAAAGAAATTCCTCATGGAATTAAAGTGTAAATTAAAAATAAAATTCTAGGCTGGGCATGGTGGCTCATGCCTGTAATGCCAGCACTTTGGGAGGCTGAGGTTGGCAGATCACTTGAGGTCAGGAGTTCAAGACCAGCCTGGCCAACATGGTGAAACTCCATCTCTACTAAAAATATAAAAATAAGCCGGGCATGGTGGTGTATGCCTATAATTCTAGCTACTAGGGAGGCTGAGGCATGAATCATTGGAACCCTGGAGGTGGAGGTTGCAATGAGCTGAAATCATGCCATTACATTCCAGTGTGGGCAACAGAACAAGGCTCTTCTCAAAAATAAATAAATAAAAATAAATAATAACATTCTAAAAGCATGGGAAAATATAGCTGAATATTTACATAATATTGGAGTGCTGAAAGACTTTTAAAGTATGACCCCAAGAGCAGACACCATTTACTTGAAAGACAGAAATTTTCATTAACTAAAATATTTAAATTCTTCAGAAATAAAAATATGAAATAAAAAGGGAAACAGCAGTTTAAGAAAAATATTTCCAACATAAATAAGGAATAAGTGATTTTATCCTTAATTAATAAAGAGCTACTATAAGTCAATTTTTAAAGAACTCTAACAACCCAATAGAAAAATAGGCTAAAGATGTAATTTTATTAGGAGAATACATGTAAAAAGATAATAACATATAAACAAATCTTCATCCTCTCTAGTTATCAACGAAAACCAAGTTAAAACAATTAAATACATATTAAATATGAGATTAGCAAAGCTTTTTAAAATATAAGACCCAATACTGGTAAGAGTTCAGAGAACTGGGAACTATTATTCACAGCTAGTAGATTAAAAGTGTTCTAATCTTCCTAGGAGTCAATTTATAAATATGCATTTTATTTTGAGCCTTTGTGTATCCTTGCATGTGAGATGGGTTTCCTGGATACAGCACACCAATGGGTTTTGGCTTTTTATCCAATTTGCCAGTCTGTGTCTTTTGATTGGGGCATTTAGTCCATTTACATTTAGGGTTAATATTGTTATGTGCGAATTTGATACTGCCATTTTGGTGCTAGCTGGGTGTTTTGCCCTTTAGTTGAGCTGATACTTGTTGTTCCTTTATATGTGTAGAGCCTCTTTCAGGAGCTCTTGTAGAGCTGGCCTGGTGGTGACGAACTCTCTGAGTACTTGCATGTTCCCAAAGGATTTTATTTTTTCCTTCACTTATGAAGCTTAGTTTGGCTGGATAGGAGATTCTGGGTTGAAAGTTCTTTTCTTTAAGGATGTTGAATATTGGCCCCCACTCTCTTCTGGCTTGTAGGGTTTCTGCTGATGGGCTTCCCTTTGTGGGTAACCCAACCCTTCTCTCTGGCTGCCCTTAGTATTTTCTCCTTCATTTCAACCCTGGTGAATCTGACGATTATGTGCCTTGGGGTTGCTCTTCTTGACGAATATCTTTGTGGTGTTCTCTGTATTTCCTGGACTTGAATGTTTGCCTGCCTTGCTAGGTTGGGGAAGTTTTCCTGGATAATATCCTGAAGAGTATTTTCCAGTTTGGATTCATTCTCTTCGTCGCATTCAGGTACGCCTATCAAACGTAGATTAGGTCTTTTCACATAGTCCCATATTTCTTGGAGATTTTGTTCATTCCTTTTTACCCTTTTTTCTCCAGTCTTGCCTTCCTGTTTTATTTTATTAAGTTGATCTTCGACCTCTGATATCCTTTCTTCTGCTTGGCCAATTCGACTGTTGATACTTGTGCATGCTTCACGAAGTTCTCGTGTTGCGTTTTTCAGCTCCATCAAGTCACTTGTATTTCCTTTCTATTTTGTCCATTCTCGTTAGCATTTCGTCAAATCTTTTTTCAAGGTTCTTAGTTTCTCTGCATTTCATTAGAACATGTTTTTTAAGTTCGCAGAAGTTTCTTACTACCCACCTTCTGAAGTCTGATTCTGTCATTTCATCACACTCGTTCTCCCTCCAACCTTGTTCCCTTGCTGGTGAGGAGTTGTGATCCCTTTTAGGAGGAGAGGTGTTCTGGTTTCAGGTGTTTTCATCCTTTTTGCGCTGGCTTCTTCCCGTCTTTAAGGATTTATCCACCTGTCGACTTTGTAGTTGCTGGCTTTCAGATTGGGTCTCAAATCTTTCAGATTGACGTTCTGTTTGTTGATGATGAGGTTATTTCTGTTTCTTGGTTTTCCTTCTGACAGTCTGGCCCCTCTGCTGTAGGTCTGCTGAGGTTCACTCCAGGCCCTGCTTGCCTGGGGTTCACCTGCAGCAGCTGCTGGACTGTAAGGGTGGTTACCAGTTTTCTTCTTCTGCTATCTTTGTCCCAGAAGGATACCCACCTAGTGTCAATGTGATCTCTCTTTTATGAGGTGGCTCTTTGGATATATAGGGGTCAGGGAGCTGCTTGAGGAGACGGTCTCTTCTTTATAGGAGCTCAAATGGTGAGCTGTGAGCTCTGTTGTTCATTCAGAGCTGCTGGGAAGGTACTTTTAGGTCTGCTGCAGCAGAACTTATAAACTGCTTTTTGTTCCCAGGTGCTCTGTCCCAGGGATTTAGGGCTTTATTTATGAGTTTCCGTTATGCTGCTGCCTTCTTTTTTTTTCCTTCAGGCCTGCCCTGCCCAGCAAGGAGGCAGCCTAGTCACTGTTGTCCTGTAGAGGCTTTGCTGAGCTGCTGTGGGCTCCGCCCAGCTGCTGAGTGAACTTCGTTGCAGTCTTGTTTATATGGGTGTAGTTAGAACTGCTTTGGGGATGGTGGCCCGCCTCTGTTGAGGCGGAGTCTCTCTGCTGTGGCAGGTTGCCTTGGCAACGGCGGGCTGCCTCGGTAATGGCAGACACCCTTCCCCCACAGAGCTGGACCGTCCCGGGTTCACCTGCGCTTGCTGTGAAAGTCTCAATCCAGAGTTTCTGGTTGCTGTTCTTTTGTGGGGGTGGGGCCAGCTGAGCCTGATCGCCTGGCTCCCTGCCTCAGAGCCTTTTTTAAGTTGGTGTTCCAGTCGCCTGTTGAAGAGGTGCCGGGGTCTGTTTGTTTTCCCCTGCGGCCACTCACTGCGCTGGCTTAAACAGCAGCACTGAGGTTTGTGGCGCTTTTTTTTTTTTTTTGCCCTGGAATCTACTGTCCTGGTTCCCTGCTCAGTCCCCTTTTTAAACAGATGAATGGGCAACTTTCTGTGGCTCCAATTGCCAGCCAAAAGGGCCCCCGGACCGGTGTATTTTGTACGGAGAACCACTGCTCCGGGGCGCCGACAAAGCAGCCGCGCGGGGCAAAGCAGCGGCGCCGGCCAGCACAGCCACGCTGGCCGAAACAACCGCGCTGGTGACCTGTGGAGCTCCACCGCCTGGGAATTTCCTAGTCTGTGGGCAATAAAAATGCGGCGCCCACTCACCCTCTGCGCTTTCACTGGGAGCTGCAATCCTGAGCTGTTCCTAAACGGCCATCTTGGATCCTCCTCCAAATATGTATTTTAAAATCTTCTAAAAGTATGTCATTTTAGATGCTAAAAATCTACTAGGAATTTATCCAAGGATATTGCTTATTGTAGGATGCAAAAATCAGAGATTTTTATTAGCTTTGGTAATTAAAGTGAAAAACAAAACCTGCAACCAATTAGAATGCCAATAAAGGAGCACAGATTAAACAAATATATATTAGTTATATAAATATATAAAATATTATTTTTTTCCCACTTTTGTATAACAGACATTGTATTGGTCCATTTTGTGTTGCTATAACGGAATGCCAAACATTAATTTACAAAGAAAAGAAATATATTTCTTACATTTCTGGAGTCTGAGAAGTCCAAGGTCGAGGGGCCTGCATCTGGTAAGGGCCTTCTTGCTGCATCATCCCAGGGCAGCAGGTGGAGAGCAAGAGAGCATGCTCAAGAGCCAGAGAATGAGAGGGGGCCAAACTTGCCATTATAATAAAGCCTCTCTCACAATAATTAACCCATTCCTGCAAGAATGACATTAATTCATTCATGAGGGCAGAGCCCTCAGGACCTAATCACTTCTTAAAGGTCCCATTTCTCAACACTGTTGCATGAGGGATTGTTTCCAATACAGACACATTTAAACCATAGCAGGCTTGTATTAATTGAGTGATTAGATATATTGTTAAATTTTGGGGGTAAAATTCAAAACTTTCCTGTTTTACCAGTGATAAAACTTCTTTCCAAAGAAGGCCTATGGGAGAGGGAATCTAATTAATGGGAGCTCCTGCTTCAGCATGTTTCCTAAGAATTAAAGTTTTATTATAACTAAAAATATAATCAGTAAGTCATTAATACCTGTCAAGCAAAACCAAATACAGAAACTGCAAATGCAGTGAAATGTCATAGCTCAGAGGTTTGATAATGAGATGTGAACACATCTACTTCCAGCAAAATTCCATGTGTCCACCCCTACTTGATAATTTGAAGAAAAAGTCACATCTGTGCAGTGACATAAATTTTACTCCACATGGATCCTGCAAACTTGAAATGTCTTAAATTTCATCATTAAAACTGCACTCCTGCAAGATTTGTAAGGTGAAAGAGATGAAGAAGACATTCTTTTTTCTTCCTCCGGCAGCACTGGCAGACAAATATGTGTTTCACAGATAATGTTTATTCAGTGGCCTCTTTGTTTCCTTCCCATTTCAGCCCCTTAGGGCTGAAGAAAGCTGTGAGGCCACCGTCAGCATTCCTGCAGGTTCCTGATTCTGAACGGCAATAGCCCTCTGCTTTTCTGTAGCTGTAAACCCGAAGCCAATGGCAGTCCCTACGATTTTCACTCTTCCAGTCTTTCCCGTGGTTTTGTAAACACCTCAATACCTATATTAAATCTCTCCATATTTAAAATGCCTACAGGGGTTTTGTTTTCCTGACTGAACCCCACATGATCCAGCCTAGTTACACCATGAAAGACTTATGTCACATCTCTGCACTAATGGCAGCTATCACAGTCTTGAAATGAAAGGACATAAGTGATCTCAGAATTTTCTTTAAAATACCTTTAGAGATGCTTTTTAAGAAGCTTCTTCATAATTCTGTAATTGGTTTAGAAAGGACTTGGGAAATCACTCACAGAGAAGAAAAATAGATACATTAACATGAACATAAGGGATATTTTCTTGAATATAATAGGATATTTTCCATGAACATAATAGGATATTTTCTTAGGCATTCTAAACATGGAAGCAGAATGCTTGTTTAGTTGGAGAAAACCCTTACAGACTCCCTCTAGAGAGGAGCAACATCAAATCAAAGTCAATACAATCATTCTGGGTTAGGTAAATTATCCATGCAGGGAAATGCTCCTAAAATACCAGCTTCCTTCTGATCTCCTAACTCTCATACCTTTCCACTACTTCATGGCTCTTTTCCAAAGGATTTGCACCTGCCCCAGTCACTTCAACTCCTACTTCCTCCATGTGTTCCTTTTCTACTCAGTCACCCTAATGTCTTAGCATTTATTTAAGTGTTCTAAGTGCTCCAGAACCTAGACATACCAAGAATCCCATCCAGTATTGTGAAGGAAAAATATATGTTACATTCATAAATTTTCTAATAAACTAGAATGACAAGGTTTTAATTTCAAGTATTTTGAAGAAAATCTAGCATGTGTTAAACTCTCTTTTTTTAGGAAAAAAAAATCTGAGACAATAGCATATAGTTGAAAAAACATACGGCTTATTCTTCAAAGACAAACTGAAGTCTGAAATCTGCCACTTGGGTGACTTTGGTTGAGTAATTCAACTTCTCTGAAACTTCATTTTTCCTATGTAAAATATTTACAATAATAATACAAGAAGCCACGCATACCTCAGAGGGCAGTCGTTCTCAAAGTGTGGCCCCAGCCAGCAGCAGCAGAGTTATGTGGGCAATTGTCAGGAAAACTGATTCGGAGCCCCACATCATACCTACTGAAATAGAAACTCAAGTTGCAAGGAGGTAGGACAAGGAAGCAGCAATGAGTGTTTTAACAACATTCAGGTGATTCTGATGAATGCTGCCATAGGGACTTTGCATTGATTTAATAAGATGATATAGTGCAAAGAATTGTATTTTTTTTAAAGCTATGCAAATAGGAGCTAGTAGCATTACAGCTGTTAATTATTGTGCTGTTTAATGCAGCACTGCTCAGAATGAAATGGCCTCAAACCACTGTGCTGAAGAACCAGAGAGAATTCAAAAGAAATGATTTTGCTTTCAAGAGTTCTTCTGTCCCTTCCCTCTGCTGTCAGCTGTCATTTCTCACCGAGGTCGGTGAGTCCTGCTGCTATCATCTGCTGCGTTATACGCACAGTGGTTCTGAGCGACTGCCTGAGGGCAATTCTGTCTTTCCTATGGAATAAAGTCTCTACCCCTCTGCAGCTTCTAGCCTCCCTTATGACCCTTTTCCAACTTGTGTTCTGAATGTTTGAGGCCACTGCCAGTCTGACCTCTGGGTAGGAGATTTTCTAGGATAATAACATATACACACATCTTTTACATCGAAATATGCATACATGTATAGCACCAAAGCAATTCCTGCTACCTTGTGCATGCACAATACGAATTTTCAGTTGATAAAATGAATATGTGTATGTTCATATCTCAGAAAAGTGTGAGTATACTTCATCACCACACAACATATGCATGTAAAAAAAATCTCCACTTATATCCCCCAAAGCTATTTAAAATTTTTTTTTAATTCAAAAAGTGTAAGGATAAGGACAGTACGTGGTTTCACTCTGACATCTCTAACTCCTGTGGGTTATCATGAGACTGAAAAGTGTGGTTTAATCAAACAAGTCTATAAGCACTTCTGGGAAAACAATGCAAAGGGCAAGAGCTGATGGGAAGCCACTGGCATTGTCTTCCCAGGGAAAGGGCAGCACTTTATACACGTGCGGTAAAAGAGGAGAAAGCTCTCTGAAGCATTAAAAGCACTAAATAAATGAAGATGCTCCTATTATTGATATGATTCCATCCCTGCTGGATGCCCATTAGCTCCAGGTACAGGGCCTCTCCCACCCTGAGTTCAGGGTCCCTTTGAGACCCTGCTCACTGGCTTGACTCCCAGGGCTGTCCTGTGCTGTCTTCTGCAAAGGGTGGCACCTCCCCTCACAGCCTGTCAGGGCAACCCACCTCCCAAGAGAAATGCTGGCTACTTGCCTCTGACCTTGACATACCTTCTGCCCCACCATCTGCTCGATTTCCATAGCTTTCATTCGAGGCTTTAGGACTACATGACTGCCTCTTCTTGGTCTATTGGCCATAGCACCAAGCTTCACTCCCTGCATCTACAACAAAGAATCTTCATTCCTGCCCCTACCTTGGCTTCCCTGTGGTGGCCCTCATGTCAGGTCAACTAGCATACCCAGCCCTGCACCCTCCATGGTGTCTGAGCACTCACCAGCCCACTTTCCTTAAATCAATAAATTGACCCATCAGCCAGACCCATGTTCCCCCAGTACAGCCAGCCCGAACCCCTAAGACAAGCCATCTGTGGCCTTCTACTTACTATTAACTCTGTTGCGTAGCACTCAGTAGCACTCAGTAGACAGTGGGTGCTCAATTAATGTTGCTGTCTGCATGAAATGGTAAAAGTTTAGAATGCTGATTCTTAACTAAAATCAGAAATCTGCTTGAGGAAAGCAAGTCAACACTCTTTTGAAATAGTAATGCAATTAGCAGAAATTTTTACTACATCAATCAAAAGGGCTCTCGGCAAGTAGTCAGTGAACCAAGTAAAGTGACCTTCGTACCCCCTCCCACTCCTGCCCCACTCCATATTCTTGTTAGCTACTGTTGACTGATGGCTTCCAGGAAAACATGATCCATCACTGTTCAGACTAGTGAAGCTTCTGCCACTATGTTCAGGTTACTCCAGCATTTTGTAAAAGTGAGACAAAATATTGAGTCTGAAAAATGCCAACTCATGGTAAAATAAGAAAACCTCAAAATAGCACGATACTGCCAGGAATCAATGAAATTAACATGGGTGGAAGTTGGAGAGGTTCTTTAAAAATATATGTAACAGTGTATGATATGTTACAAACTCATCAGGAGGCCTGTGATAGGGTTTTCAATTCCATACTGGAAGTTATTCACTACCAGAATCGCTACTGCCCAGGGCAAGTAACAACGATCACTTAAACTGGGCTCTTATTCGTATCAGACACTGTGCTAGCCGCTTCATATATGTTATCCTATCCAATTCTTATTTTCATGAAAGGTGTGATATGGTTTGGCTCTGTCTCCCCACCTAAATCTCATGTTGAATTGTAATTTCGAATGTCAGAGGTGGGGCCTGGTAGGAGGTGATTGGATCATGGGGGTGGTTTCTAATATTAGCACCATCCCCCTAGTGCTGTCTCGTGATAGAGCTCTCACCAGATCTGGTTGTTTGAAAGTGTTTAGCACCTCCCACTTCACTCTCTCTTCCTTCTGCTCCAGCATGTAAGATCTACCTGCTTCCCCTTTGCCTTCTGCCACAATTGTTAAGTTTCCTGAGGTCTCACCAGAAGCAGAATATTGTACAGCCCTCAGAACCATGAGCCAATTAAACCTCTTTTCTTTCTAAATCACCCAGTCTCAGATATGTCTTTATAGCAGCATAAGAATGAAGTAATGTTCAGGTAAAAATCTCTATTTTGTCAATGAGGACTTGCTGTTGGTTACAGAGCTGATAAATGACAGAACCAAATTTAAACCAATGGCAGTCTGACTCCAAAGCCCATATCCTTACCATTCTAGGTGCAGTTCTTCTCCCTATCTCCCAAATTTTCCAGAAAGGAAGAATCAGGTTTAAATGATCCTGACTACAAAAATGAGAGGATGAGTCTGAAAACATATGTACTGGAAGTTGTGTGTGGGATGGGAGAGAGACAGCCTTGCTCTTTACAGTGTATGACAGTCAAAATGTGTCTAGACTGTAGAGCACTTGGGAAAGACACAGAAATAGGCTTGAACAAATGAAAAGGCACGTTGTGCTTCTGTTAGGAAAACTCAACATCATGAAAATGTCAGTTCTCCTTAAATGACTTTATGAATTTAACATAATCCCAATGAAAAATACAGCCATACCTCATTTTAATACACTTCACCTTATTGCACTTCTCAGATACTGCATTTTTTACATATTGATGGTTTGTAGCATTTTTCAACAGCATGTGCTCACTTCGTGTCTCTGTGTCACTTTTTGGTAATTTTCATAATTATTTCAAAAAAAATTATTACTATATCTGTTATGGTGATCTGTGACCTATGATCTTTGACGTTACTAATGTAATTGTTTTGGGATGCCATGAACTTAGCCCATACAAGACAATGAACTTAATCAGTAAATGTGTATGTCCTGACTGCTCCACTGACAGGCCATTTCCCCACCTCTCTTCTTCCTTAGGCCTCCCTATGCCTTGAGACACAACAGCATTGAAATTAGACCAATTAGTAACACTACAATGACCTCTGAGTATTCAAGCAAAAGGAAGAGTTGCACATCTCTCACCTTAAATCAAAAGCTAGAAATGATTAAGCTTAGTGAGGAAGGCATGTTGAAAGCCAAGACAGTCTGAAAGATAGGCCTCTGGTGCCAAACAGTTAACCAGGCTGCGAATGCAAAGGAAAAGACCTTGAAGGAAATTAAAGTACTACCTCCAGTGTACACATGAGTGATAAGAATGTGAAACAGCCTTCTTGCTGATCTAGAGAAAGTTTTAGTTGTCTGTGTAGAAGATCAAAGCAGCCCCAACGTTCCCTTAAGCCAAGACCTAATCCAGGACAAGGCTCTAACTCTCTTCAGTTGTGCAAAGGCTGGAAGAGGTGAGGAAGCTAGAGAAGAAAAGTTGGAAACTGGCAAAGGAGCAGAGGTTGATTCATGAGGTTTAAGGAAAGACGCTGTCTCCATAACATAAAAGTGGAAAGAAAAGCAGCAAGTGCCGATATACAAGCTGTAACAACTCATCCAGAAGATCTAGCCAAAATCATCAATGAAGGTAGCTACGCTAAATAACAAAATGTAAATGAAACAGATTTCTATTGGAAGAAGACACTACCTAGGACTTTCACAGCTAGAGAGAAGTCAATGCTTGGCTTAAAAGTTTCAAAGGACAGGATGACTCTTGTTAGGGGCTAATACAGCAGGTTGAATTAGTAGGTTGAAGTTGATGCTCATTTACCACTCCAAAAATCCTAGGGCCCTTAAGAATGATGTTAAATCTCTCAAAATTGAGGTAAAACCACTGCCCGGGTGTACCCAGCCAACTTTATCCATCACTGTCGCCACCGCAGTAGGGAGGAGGGCCATGATCCAAATGAACCAGAGCAGCTGAGAAAACTGTCTATTGGTGGTCTGAGCTGTGAAACTACAGATGATCGTTTAAGAGAACATTTTGAGAAATGGGGCACACTCACAGATTGTATAGTAATGAAAGACGCCCAAACAAAACGTTTCAGGGACTTTGGTTTTGTAATTTATTCTTGTGTTGAAGAGGTGGAGGCAGCAATGTGTGCTAGACCACACAAGGTTGATGGGCATGTAGTGGAACCAAAGAGAGCTGTTTCTGGAGAGGATTCTGTAAAGCCTGGTGCCCAACTAACAGTGAAGAAAATTTTTGTTGGTGGTATTAAAGACATAGAAGAATATAATTTGAGAAACTACTTTGAAAAGTATGGCAAGATTGAAACCATAAAAGTTATGGAGGACAGGCAGAGTGGGAAAAAGAGGATTTGCTTTTGTGACTTTTGATGATCATGATACAGTTGATAAAATTGTTGTTCAGAAATACCACACTAATAATGGGCATAATTGTGAAGTGAAAAAGGCCCTTTCTAAATAAGAGATGCAGTTTGCTGGATCACAGAGAGGTCGTGAAAGTGGATCTGGCAATTTTATGGGTCACAGAGGAAACTTTGGAGGTGGTGGAGATAATTTTGGCTGTGGTGGAAACTTTGGTGGAAGAGGGCACTATGGTGGTGGAGGTGGTGGCAGCAGAGGTAGTTATGAAGAAGGTGATGGTGGATATAATACACTTGGAGATGATGGTGGCAACTATGGCGGTGGTCTTTGTTACAGTAGTAGAGGGGGCTGTGGTGGTGGTAAACCAGGATATGGAAACCTAGGTTGTGGATATGGTGATGGTGGTGGAGGACATGATGGTTACAATGAAGGAGGAAATTTTGGCGGTGGTAACTATGGTGATGGTGGGAACTATAATAATTTTGGAAATTATAGTGGACAACAACAATCAAATTATGGACCCATGAAAGAGGGCAGTTTCAGTGGAAGAAGCTCAGGCAGTTCCTGCGGTGGTGGTTGTGGATCTGGTGGTGGAAGTGATGAATATGATAGCAGAAAGTTCTAAAAACAGCAGTAAAGGGCTACAGTTGTTAGCAGGAGGGAGAGTGAATAGTTTTCACAAAAGCTGCAAGTTGAGACAGTTGTCCCCAGTGCATTAGAGGTACTGTAAAAATCTGCCACAGAAGGAACGATAATCCATCGTCAGAAAAGTTACTGCAGCTTAAACAGGAAACCCTTCTCGTACAGGACTGTCATAGCCACAGTTTGCAAAAACTGCAGCTATTGATAAGTACAATGTAGTGTCAATTAGATGTACATTCCTGAGGTCTTTTATCTGTTGTAGCTTTGTCTTTGTCCTTTTCTTTTCATTACATCAGGTATATTGCCCTGTAAATTGTGGTAGTGGTACCAGGAATAAAAAACTGAGGAATTTTTAACTTTTCAATATTTGTGTACTTCAGTCTTTCTACACTTTAGTACAGAAACTTTAACAAAATGCAGTTTTGAAGGTGTTTCCTTGTGAGTTAACAAGTAAAGAAGATCATTGTTAATTACTATTTTGTATGCATTTTACTAAAGTTAACTGTGAAGAAACACCTGCTGACTTGCGTTTAAGGGGAATCTATTCTCCCCATTTCCAAACCATGAGATGAATAGATGCTGACATGTGAAGAGAATAATATCTATGTATTTGCAGTGTGTGTTTTAGATAAATGGGATTGGGTATTTAAATTAGCATTTGTGAATTGAATAGCATTAAGATTACCTTCGAATAAAAAAATCTCAAAATTTATATTTGGCTTTTGCGTATTTTCTTTTAAAATGTAATCATATTATTTTAGTGTGTTAGACTTGCTGAGTCCTAGCTGTGTTTAGAACAATTCCATTCTACATTTACCTTGGTCAAATTTGAACTGCTGCCATAGGTTTTGGGTGTAAAGAATGTTTACTTCCCACCATTTAAAATTCTGAAAAAGGATAGTGGATGTTTTCCCTCTCCTATGTTAGAAACCATTCTTAAAAACTTTTCAAAATATAGGACGATTAAGCCTGCTATATCTGAGCAAAATTGATGGGTGCCTTTTTTTTTTCTTTTTTAAAGCGTAAGAGGCCCATACATCTTGAGTTATTTTCCTTGGTTTACATTTTTTTATTCAATTTCTCAGAGTGAGAGAATAAAAATAATGCATTATTAAACCCCTAACTGGCTGGCATGCTTTCCTCTTGGTACCCTATAGATTTTGCTAGATGAAACCAAGGATAGTTTAGGTATAATTGTCCAAAATAACCTAGCTGCAGCAGAAATGTAGCACAGTTGCTTAGTACAAGCTTCTCACTTCCTACAGACATGAATTCAAATTTGGATAGTCTGAGTTCTTAAATTCCCAAAGAACGCACTGTTATTTCCTGTGTATATTTTAACATAAATCATGTTGTTACCAATTTGTTTGAAAGGCCCTGGTTGAGAAGAGTTTTGGATAATAAGGTCATATCTATATATGGTATATATACACCAATGTCTACTGTTTTGCACCAGCTAGTGCTTACAATTTCATTCAAGCCCTGAGTATGTCCCCTGCCATTACTTTGGCAGTTGAACGATGAATTCAAGATTCTTATTTTTGTTTTAAGAAGTAATAAGCAAAACAAGCAATAAAAAGGGGAATGAGGCATGTCTGAATATGCTCTCTTGTTGCACTAATTCTGTGCCTCTGTGCATTAATATTTGGATGCATGCAATGCTAGCATGGAAATTGGTCTTCACACATACTGCAGTTTTCCAGAAACACTCACAAACCAATAAATGTAACAGACATTCCATTTGTTAATGGGCATATACGTGAAAAGCAGTTAGAAAATAGGCTAAGAGGAGATCGGGGGAAGATGGCCAACTAGGAACAGCTCAGGATTGCAGCTCCCAGTGAAAGTACAGATGGTGAGTGGACGCCGCATTTCCAGATGGACTTTTATTGCCCACAGACCAGGAGATTCCCAGGTGGAGGAGCCCCACGGGTTACCAGCACGGCTGTTTCGGCCCGTGCCCTGGCACAGCGGTTCTCTGTACAAAAGACACTGGCCCGGGTGCCCTCTTAGCTGGCGATTGGAGCCCTGAGATGGCAGAGTCGCCCATTCATCTGAAATAGTGAGCCAGGCCAGGAGATTCCTAGGCAAAAAAACCGCCAGGAATCTCAGCGCCGCTGTTTCAGCTGGCTCAGTGAGTCGCAGCACGGGAGATCCTGGCGCCTTTCCAACAGGTGACTGGAACACTGGGAGAGATTGACCATTCAACAAAAAAAAAAAAAAAAAAAAAAAAAGACTCTGAGTCAGGGAGCCAGGTAATCAGGCTTGGCTGGTTCCACCCCCCCCTCCACCCCACAAAAAAGAAAAAACAGTAATTGAAAACGCTCTGGGTTGAGAGTTTCACAGCAAGCACAGCTGAACCCGGGGCAGTCTGGCTCTGTAGGGGAGGGGCGTCCACCATAACTGAGACACTCCACCACTATGGAGGCAGTCTGCCATCACTGAGGCAGCATGCCATTGCTGAGGCAACCCACCACTGCCAAGGCAACCTGCCACTACAGAGAGAGTCTGCCATAACAGAGGTGGGCCACCATTGCCAAGGCAGTTCTAACTACACCCATATAAAAAGGACTGCAGGGAAGATCACACAGCAGCTGGGCGGAGCCCACAGCAGCTCAGCAAAGCCTCTGCAAGCAGACAGTGACTAGGCTGCCTCCTCGCTGGGCAGGGCAGCATTGAAAGAAAAAAAAAAGGCAGTGGCACAATGGAAACTCCTAAATAAAGCCCTAACTCCCTGGGACAGAGCACCAAGAAAAAAAAAAAAAAAAGGGAGTTTATGAGTTCTATTGCAGCAGACCTAAATGTACCTGCCCAGCAACTCTGAATGAACAATGGAGCTCACAGCTCAGGACTTGAGCTCCAATAAAGGACAGACTGTCTCCTCAAGCAGCTCCCTGACCCCCATACAACCAAAGAGTCACCTCATAAAGGAGAGAACAGACTGACATTTGGTTGGCATCATTCTGGGACAAAGATAGCAGAATAGGAAACTGGTAGCAACCCTTAGTGTTCTGCAGCTGATGCAGGTGATCCCCCGGCAAGCAGGGCCTGGAGTGGACCTCAGCAGTCCTACAGCAGAGGGACCAGACTGTTAGAAGGAAAGCTAAGAAAAAGAAGTAACTTCTGCACCCACAAACTGGAAGTTCACTCAGAGACCCAATCTGAAAGTCAGTAACTACAAAGACAACAGGTGGATAAACCCACAAAGATGGGAAGAAACCAGTGCAAAAAGGATGAAAACACCTGAAACCAGAACACCTCTCCTCCTAAAAGGGATCACAACTCCTCACCAGCAAGGGAACAAAGTTGGAGGGAGAACGAGTGTGATGAAATGACAGAATCAGACTTCAGAAGGTGGGTAATAAGAAACTACAGTGAGCTAAAAGGCCATGTTCTAAACCAATGCAAAGAAACTAAGAACCTTGAAAAAAGATCTGACGAAATGCTAACAAGAATGGACAACATAGAGGGGAATATAAGTTAATTGATGGAGCTGAAAAACACAACGCCAGAACTTCACAAAGCATACAAAAGTTTCAACAGCCGAATTGACCAAGCAGAAGAAGGGATATCAGAGATCAAAGATCAACTCAATGAAATAAAACGAGAAGGCAAGAATAGAGAAAAAAGGGTAAAAAGGAATGAACAAAGTCTCCAAGAAATGTGGGACTATGTGAAAAGACCTAATCTGCGTTTGATAGGTGTACCTGAATGTGAAGAAGAGAATGAATCCAAGCTGGAAAATACTCTTCAGGATATTATCCAGGAAAACTTCCCCAACCTAGCAAGGCAGGCCAATATTCAAGTCCAGGAAATACAGAGAACACCACAAAGATATTCGTCAAGAAGAGCAACCCTAAGGCACGTAATCGTCAGATTCACCAGGGTTGAAATGAAGGAGAAAATGCTAAGGGCAGCCAGAGAGAAAGGGTGGGTTACCCGCAAAGGGAAGCCCATCAGACTCACAGCAGATCTCTCAGCAGAAACCCTACAGAAGAGAGTGGGGGCCAATATTCAACATCCTTAAAGAAAAGAACTTTCAACCCAGAATCTCCTATCCAGCCAAACTAAGCTTCATAAGTGAAGGAAAAATAAAATCCTTTGTGAACAAGCAAGTACTCAGAGAATCATCACCACCAGACCTGCTTTACAAGAGCTCCTGAAAGAGGCTGTACACATATAAAGGAACAACCAGTAACAGCCACTCCAAAAACATACCAAATGATAAAGAGCATCAACACAATCAAGAATCTGCATCAACTAACGAACAAAACAGCCAGCTAGCATCAAAATGGCAATATCAAATTCACACATAACAATATTATCCCTAAATGTAAATGGACTAAATGCCCCAATCAAAAGACACAGACTGGTAAATTGGATAAAAAGCCAAAACCCATCGGTGTGCTGTATCCAGGAAACCCATCTCACATGCAAGGATACACAAAGGCTCAAAATAAAGGGATGGAGGAAGATTTACCAAGCAAATGGAGAGCAAAAAAAAGCAGGAGTTGCAATTCTCATCTCTGATAAAATAGACTTTAAAGCAACAAAGATCAAAAGAGACAAAGAAGGACATTACATAATGGTAAAAGGATCAATGCAACAAGAAAAGCTAATGATCCTAAATATATATGCACCCAATACAGGAGCACCCAGATACATAAGGCTAGTTCTTAATGACTTACAAAGAGACTTAGACTCCCACACAATAATAGTGGGAGACTTTAACACCCCATTGTCAATATTAGACAGATCAACCAGACAGAAAATTAACAAGGATATCCAGGACTTGAACTCAGACCTGGAACAAGCAAACCTAATAGACATTTACAGAACTCTCCACCCCAAATCCACAGAATATACATACTTCCTAGCACCACATCACACCTACTCTAAAACTGACCACATAATGGGAAATAAATCACTCCTCAGAAAATGCAAAAGAACGGAAATCATAACAAACAGTCTCTCAGACCACAGTGCAATCGAGTTAGAACTCAGAATGCCGAAACTAACTCAGAACTGCACAGCTTCATGGAAACTGAACAACCGGCTCTTGAATGTTGACTGGATATACAATGAAATGAAGGCAGAAATAAAGATGTTCTTTGAAACCAACGAGAATGAAGACAAAACATACCAGAATCTCTGGGACACATTTAAAGCAGTCTCCAGAGGAAAATATATAGCAATAAGTGCCCACATGAGAAGCAAGGAGAGATCTAAAATTCACACCCTAGCATCAAAATTGAAAGAGCTAGAGGAGCTAGATCAAATAAACTCAAAACCTACCAGAAGACAAGAAATAGCTAAGATCAGAGCAGAACTGAAGGAGATAGAGACACAAAAAACCCTTCAAAAAATCAATAAATCCAGGAGCTGGTTTTCGAAAAGATCAACAAAATAGACAGACCGCTAGCCAGATTAATAAAAAAGAAAAGAGAGAATAACCAAATTGATGCAATAAAAAACGATAAAGGGGATATCACCACATATTCCACAGAAATTCAAACCATAATCAGAGATTATTACAAACAACTCTATGCACATAAACTAGTAAACCTGGAAGAGATGGATAAATTCCTGAACACTTGCCTCCTCCCAAGCCTAAACCAGGAAGAAATTGAAACCCTGAATAGACCATAACAAGGTCTGAAGTTGAGGCAGCAATTAAGAGCCTACGACCCAAAAAAAGCCCAGGTCCAGATGGGTTCACAGCCGAATTCTACCAGACATACATAGAAGAGCTGTTACCATTCCTTCTGAAACTATTCCAAATAATACAAAAAGACGGAATCCTTCCCAAATCATTTTATGAGACAAACATCATCCTGATACCAAAACCCGGCAGATACTCAACAAGAAAAGAAAACTTCAGGCCAATATCCATGATGAACATAGATGCAAAAATCTTCAATAAAATACTGGCAAGCCGACTGCAACACCACATCAAAAAGCTTATCCACCATGATCAAGTAGGCTTCTTCCCGGGGATGCAAGGCTGGTTCAACATACGCAAGTCTATAAACGTAATTCACCACATAAACAGAAGCAAAGACAAAAACCACATGATTATCTCAATTGATGCAGAGAAGGCCTGTGACAAAATTCAACAGTGCTTTATGATAAAAACCCTCAATAAACTAGGTATTGATGGAACGTATCTCAAAATAATAAAAGCTATTTATGACAAACCAACAGCCAATATCATCCTGAATGGGCAAAAAATGTAAGCATTCCCTTTGAAATCTGGCACTAGACAAGGATGCCCTCTCTCACCACTCCTATTCAATATACTACTGGAAGTTCTAGCCAGAGCAATCAGGCAAGAAAAAGAAATAAAGGGTATTCAAATAGGAAAGGAGGAAGTCAAATTGTCTCTATTTGCAGATGACATGATTGTATATCTAGAAGGCCCCATCGTCTCAGCCCCAAATCTCCTGAAACTGATAAGCAACTTCAGCAAAGTCTCAGGACACAAAATCAATGTGCAAAAATCACAAGCATTCCTATACACTAATAACAGACTTAAAGAGAGCCAAATCAAGAACGAACTGCCATTCAAAATTGCTACAAAGAGAATAAAATGCCCAGGAATACATGGGCATGAAGGACTTCTTGCCTTGTCCTTCATGAAGGACAAGGAACATGAAGGACTTCTTCAAGGAGAACTACAAGCCACTGCTCAACGAAATAAGAGAGGACACAAACAGATGGAAAAG